CGCGCAGCGCCTGGTGCAGCCAGGTGGTTCTGCGGTACAGGTTCAGGATGTGGCACATGGTGGAATCCGCGGTCTCCTCCACGGAGGCGGCTGGCACGTTGCACACGGCGATCCCTGCGGGCAGCAAGGACACGAGGCCAGTTGCCAAGCAAAGTGCATTTCTTCCATTTAACAGCAATACAGAAGCATGATCTTTGAAGTCAACACCTATTTCAACACGTCTTGCACAAATACTGAGCTTCTGACTGTAATGGCAGGCAGAGTACCTGACATAATAGTTGACAACTATGCGCCAACTTATTTCTCTGATTTTTTTATTACTAATTATCATGCTTTTATTTATTGCAAACTAAGGCACTGAATCACATAAGGAAAGCACTGAAGATATCTGATAGTTTAGAACATGGTAAGCATTTTACATTTCCACTGAGCTTGGTGCTTTGAATAACCAAGAGAAACCTGCCTTGCTCTCAACAGTGTGGTCAATGATCAGAGTTTAGGTTTAATTGTGAGTTAGCCTTCCACCACTGGACAAATACCTTCCCAAAACCTAACTGTGCAAATTAAAAAAGGATAAAATAATTTATAAAGCCTTCACAGGATGACTGTTAGTAATTCCACATCATGTGTAGGTAATCATGGTACAGGGAAGGACAATCTGTTACACATTGCACAGAGATTTTTAGAATTACAACAAACCAGACCCCAGTCCTTTCTTGGTCCCCCCCATTAAAGGGAACCCATCTAATCATCAATAGGAAAATGCAAAATCTGCTTCTCCATGGCATGCAAAGGTAATGACAAGTAAGTCCATGTTCCTAACAGCTGAAAAGTCACCAGCTGAAACGAGCATAACATCAAGCAGCCTAAATTGTTACAGCCACAGAAAAGTGTGGAAGGCGGATTATTGATTCAAGACTCACAATACGCCTATTTTACTTCAAAAACAGAAGCAACAAGTGATTGTAATTACATGCAAGTTATCCCATTCTGCTTTTTACCTTCCAGTACTCAATACACAGCAGTTAAGCAAAATGCTTGAAAAACTTTGTGTCCTTTTGGACTTGTCTCTCTTCAGTCTTTCCATGTACTGCATGTTCTCTCTCTAATCACCAGCTCCCACAAATGTTTGTGTCTCAGTTCTGCTGACTGAGACAACAAACAGCACGCAGTATAATTTCATGGTGGAGAAGAAAAAAAAGTGTTTTGTATCCTAAAAACACCCAAGAACTGTTTTTATTGTTTGGGATTTTACATAACCAGATATTCAGTGAGTTCTCAGCTAATACCAGAATATCTTAGAAGCAAAGAAGAAGAATAAACATTCTCTTCAAAAACAGCACCAATAGTAATATGACAAATAATAAGCTCATGCTATATTTATCTATGTTTTACATTCAAATGTCTTTATTCTGCTGCCCAGTACTTTTTATAGCTTTCTCTACATCCCTAAAAACCTGCACAAGGAACTTACAGAACTGTGTTTCTTTCCTCTGCTGCAGAGATAAGCCTGCCTGCTGAGTCACTGCCCTTAAGACTTACTAGAAGATATACCAGCATCATTTGCTGGAATATTCACCTTGGCATCCTGCTAACATCAATGGTAGAAGGAAATTCACCATTTCTAAAATGGGGAAAAAAGCTTGACTGGGAGGAAGAGGTGAAAGACTGAAAAATAACATCCCTCTAAGTACCTCACATTAAACACTTGCATTTGTTTATACAAAAAAGTCTTTTTCATGGAGCAACAATGCAGGTTTTAGATGGCAAAGTAAATTAAATAAATGTGTCTCCTAATAGCTGCCATCAACAAAATTATGCTTTAAAAGGAGCTTAAAGAATTATATTATGTATTTGGGAAGAAGAGCAATATACCTTCTTCCCTAATAGGTTTCCTTAGGAAGCTGAGGGAACAAAAGTCAGATAAATTCTCTCCTGAACAGCAGGAATTTATTTTTCTCAATTTTTCTTCAACTCTAAAAGCACTCATTTTTGAAAGGCACAGACATAGCAAACCACAAAAAGAGCAAGAGAGAGGCAAGGAAATGAAGAGACATTTCACATGGGAAAAGACAGCACACTCTCATCTCATATCCACTGATCAATGCTCCCTTCCCTTTCCCACTGCTTTCAGTGATTTTGTGCACAGGTTCAATGCTGAAAAATGCAGGTGTTCACAGGCATTACCTGGGCTCCCACTTCCCTGGCATCCAGCTACACCCACAACTTTTATGCATTTTCTAGTCAACTACTAATAAAGTGCAGAAAAAGCATGTTTTATCCAAGAAACACATATTTTCATGCTTTGTAAGAAGATTAAAAGTGCTAACATAAAATAATGCTAAATACGAAAAGCTGGTAACAACCCCATGTGCCATCTCTACGAAAAATAAGAAGTTACTACAGAAGTTCAGGAATACATTGGACTCTGGTCTAAATCTACATTTCAAAAGCAAATCAAAGCCTTTTATAAAGAGCAAATCACTCTCACATTACCTCCTTAGGATTTGCAGTACTTACACCAGCTCAACAAATGGAAGGCTCTTTGTCTCAGTAATGTTTCATCCCAGCCATTTCACCCAAACTCAATATGAAAATCAGAGATTTTACTGGAATCTTCCCACCATTTACTGGCTTTTGACAGAGTGGACAACAATATTTTTAAATTAAAGGATACACAACCAGGTTGGACCCTCAAATTTATAACTCAGTCTAACACAAGACAGGAACTGAGTAATAAGGAAGGTGGCCATTTAGCATTTCATATGAACAAGAATTTCCCAAATCTGCTGTGTACTCTAGCCTGAAGAATTCTGTGGCTGCATTTAGGTTGTAACCTGGGTTACAAGCCAGCATAGAGACCTGCAGAACAGACAGCCAGCAAACCTTCCAAGATCTTCCTCTTATCAGGGATTTTCTCCACAAACTGGGCTCCTGACTGGTCTGAGCCTTTGATCTGCACCTACATTTTGGCTTTTGATCTAGGATTTCACCCCAGGCCACTCTCTCCACACACACAGGTTTTCTGAGGCTCACAACACACGTCTGACTGTGGCACCAGTTAAAGCAGCAAAACACAGCCTTGCCCCTCTCAGCCCTGACCTGGCCTTTCTAGAACTCAGCAAGGAGTGGTTGAGGCTCTGCCACCACTACCACAGGTGAATATTCTTTCACCATTAGCTGACAAACAGACCACACTACAGCTCCTCACTACATCACTGGGGCTACTAAGGACTAAGCACTGCAACTGAAATAAAGCATATATAATAGCATATATAGTAATATATATATTATAGCATATATAATAAGCACTGAAATAAATGTTTCCAAGATCTTTCCAGAGCAGAATGGGAAACACATCGGTCTCCACAATCTTGGAAAAGAAAATCTTTACTCCAAGTGGTCTGACCTGACCTTTAGATTACAGATAGCAGATAGTTTAACCTAAAGTAAGAAAAGTACAGATGAGATAGTTGCTTTTCTTACAGTCAAACATCAAGCACGATCTCTTCAAAGTTCCAGTAGCTGAATTTATTCTGAAGAAGCAACAACTGATTCTCCTATAAAACTGGTATTTCTGTTTTATGGACTGGTTTAGTACTAAATCTCATGCATCATAAATAAGTCTCAGACAGTTGATAATGATCTCATTTTTTATTCAAACAGAAGTAGTATGCCAAAATGATGGAATTATATTTTGTAATTAGATTACAGCAGAAGTAGTTAAAATATACAATTGGGGTAAAAAAGAAAGAGATGAAAAATTATGGCCTTTCTCCTTGGGTTTATATTGAGCAGGCAGATTGTCATCCTGCCACAAAGCTGTTAATATTATCACTTAATTAACTAATGCTAGTATCTCCATAATGAGTTTTATACTCTGATGGGAAAATTATACAGCTTACATATGATACTAGTATAAAATCCACAGAACACATTAATACAAAGATTTAGATGCTATCAGATTTCTAGAGGCAAGTATAAGATGCAAAATAAAGTCTGTAATAGCCATACCTAAATCTCCAGCAGATTTGATGTCAATATTATCAAAACCACTGCCAATTCGGACAATTATTCGAAGTGCTTTAAATTTCTCCAGGTCTTCTCGAGTTAAAGTTATAGTGTGATACATCAGGGCACCCACTGCTTCATTTAGTACCTAGAAATTAAATGAAGAAAAACAATTGGTTTTCTTTGCTTTCACAGAATCTCAGCTTAATCTCATGCACATATTCTCAAGTATAAAAGACAGTAAAAGTATTAAATACAGATTCAGGGGTTTTTTTTAAAGGTTGCTTTTCTAAATATCTCTTGGTAAGTCTTTTTCTTTTAAGTCTCCGTTATAGCATGATGGGATCAGCTTCCACAGAACGACATGGTCTGTACTTGTGCTCCCAGTAAGAGGGAAAGCTCTCACTCCCCAGGCAATGCTGTGCAATACTGACCCCAGCCCCAGTGCCACAGACTGCATCTGCACACACAGAGCCACACTGCCACAAACAGGGAGGATTTCATGCTCAGGCAGCTGAGACTCAGCCCTGAATGGAGTCACAGAGCAGAGTCTCTATACAGGCACCACTGCCCTGCTAAACCACTGGATACCTGACCAGAAACCATCCAGTGATCACAAACCCCTTCCACAACACAGACTGAAAGTGCTCACTCACACACACAACCAAAAGTGTTTGCCCCTCAGTTCACTGACACTGCAAATAAGCTCTCACTGACAGAAATCTGGATGTCACATAAACTGGTATTAACTGAGATGCCAAACTTGACATTATCCAGGAAAATCCAAAGCCTCTGAGAAATGAGAAATTGCATGAAAGCAAAATTGCTGCAGAAAAAAACCCCCAAACTTGTGAGAGCACCAAAAAAGCAAAAATAAAAGAGTCAAATTTACAAATTAAATTATGTTAAAGTGCATCCAACCTACACAACAGCACTTCAAACCAAGAGGTGTGGAGTAAGCAGAGGGAGAAGGGGTGTGGAGAATGGAGCCAGACCTGCCCCAGCAGTTTTGAATTCTGCTACCCAGCAGTGACACTGCACCCCACACATGTGATATCAATTTATTTTTCACACAGCACAGAGTATTTTCTTCTTTATCTGCAAATTGCACGATTTTACTTCTTCAAAACACTTCCCTGTGCTTGCACCTTCAATGCTCTAGCTAATATCCCAATGGTTCTACAAGACACAAAACATGCACACGTCATTTCAGCAGCTAAGCCAGCTGTAATGAATTCAAGGGATTCCTATGACACACTTCACATAAAAGTTCTGCAGAGGCTCTCAATTTCTTGTTCAGGCTTTTGGGTCTGGTACATGCACAGATTCTGTCACCTGAATTATTTCTGCTCATATGAGCATTTCCTAGCGCAATGCAAGGTCAGTAAAAATAATCAACATACATAATTTTTAAAAAAACCATTGCAGCAAAGCAGAGTCTTGCACACAGAGGATTACAATTGCTGGAACCAAGGATCTGCAACAGCGTTTAAAAATACATAAAGAAAAAATTAAAGAAAATAAAATCAAACTCCATAAAAAATGAAAGAAAAGCACTTATTACTGAATACTTCACAAAATTATTTATGCTATTTCAACATTGTTTCTGGACTGAGAACTTCAGTTCTAACTCAGATAAAGACAAGATTCCTTTGAGCAGAATTTGCATTTACTAGTAAGAACTGCAAAAAAAATTACAAATTACACATCCTTCAAGAATTCAGCTACAACATAATTCAAAGACCAGCTGTAGGCTCAGATCTTATAAAATGATTACACACACACAAAACTCCTTGATTTTAATGGTGCAAACAAGTCCTTTGGAGATTACGTGCAGCAGCTCCCAATCAGAAGGACTGCACTCACAGGATGTGTTACCTTGAGCTGTTACACAGGGCTAATAAAAACCCAACACAGTTTTGGGTTTGCTTTTCCAGTGACATTACAGCTGGCACGGACCAAGCCCGAGGTATCCTACACAAGAACCAGATCCTCTCAGGAAAGGAAAGCCCACCTAAATGCCCTCAGGTTATTTCTGCTCCCACTAGAGGCTGAAATACAATTGTTCAAGGATCTCCCAGCCTCAGTGTGTGGAAATTTCTTCAAATTCAGTTGCAGCACCTGCTGCTTCAAGCCTCAAGGTAAGTTCAGATAGCCAGGGTATCTCCAAAAAGCCATGTCCCTGCTCTGTGCTGTATCCCTTACTCTCCCCACCCCTCCCGAGGTGGCTGTGGGTGCTGTGCTGCAGAAACCATGCTCTGTCAGATAAGCACAACCCGAAGCTCAGAATCCAGGGACACAGCCCTGAGGCAGCCAGAGCCTCTCCCAGGCTGGAACAGCCCCAGGGTGGGTGCTCTGGGGCTGCCACTGCAGCCAGCACTGCACCCAGCAGGGTCAGAGCACAACTGCCTCACACATTTGTGCCTCACAATCAGCGACTCACGTGGGGAGGCAGATTGTCATTTCATAACCATGCACATTGTATTAACCCAGCCAGTCTAGACTGGCATTTGGACTCCAAGGGCATTGGTGTGGACCCATTATGACACAGTTTTTGGGCCCATCTAGGTTATGGCTTGGCACCAGGAGGAGACAAAAAAGTACTGGAAAGCTTGGGAATGTGCTCAATAAAAGGGAAAATATTTCCTAGCTGTAGCTTAATGCTGACACTAGCCATTTCCACAGGCAGTTATTTACCCATCACATGGGATATGGAACAAGCAAATGCAAGTGACAAATCTCTCAGAATTTCTTTTTAGTGACTGAGCCTCTCCTAGGATTATGGGCTAGTTAGCAAGGAAATCCACTGCTAAAATTGTAATACCCTGCAAGTGTGTTTTATCACATTAATTTGATAATTTAATTATGTTACTGCTTTTTGCTACTGGACATGTGATAGAAATATGCCAAAAAAGCAGAAAATAATAGCATAAAACCTGAAGTTAGAAACATACAGCACTGGTGAATGTTAGTAATGCCACTTAGATTTAAAAAACCAGTGAAACTTTCTGTATTTTGGAATTATTTGCATAAATTATGTTATCAGTCATTACATATATTATATGCACACAAGAAGTCTGACAAGTCTTTCAATGAGTAAAATATAACACATGAAACTGATATCCAGCATAAATATCAACAATTCCAGAAAATGAAAATATCTTTAGAAAAAAATAAGCGTGTATAGAAGTAATTCACTGATGATTTAACAAAAGGGATGGATACATTGAGAAAATCAGGGAGAATAAGTCATTTTTCTCCATCATTTTCCATAATGAACATAAGTTTTAACGAATTCAAGAACAATTTTATTACAAGGAGATCAGAGATAGCAGGCAAGGCAGAAATTCCAGACCAGCCTGAGTATGGGGCAGTCAGACCATGCTCTCTGATGATTTCTTGCAAGGAAAGGCAATGGAAAAACCTGAGAGAAAACGAGCAGAGTCAGCTGTGCTCCTCCAGCAGCCATTCCTGCTGCCACCACGCTGCAGCTGAGCCCTCTGGGAAGAGAGGATCCGAGGCCAAGGCTGAAATAGAGACATGAGCTGGGCTCCTTCTGTTACCCAATTACTCTGGAGCTCACCTGCCTGATTTCTGTGCCTTCAGACTTCCTTCCAGCTGAAGGCAGAGCTCAGGGCTGAAAGCCTTTTCATTCCCTATTCCATGGCTGACAGCTTTCCCCATCACAGCAGCCTGGACAGGTCTTTCTGCTGTTCTTCCAGCTCAACATGACTGCTCTGCTTTCACAACATGCCAGGTCACCAAGGCTCTCAGGGAACAGGTGACAGTAGCAGGAGACACTTCTATTTCCAAGAATTTTACAAATCCCGAGTACTGATTATCCAAGGTTTAAATCCTTCTAAATGTTTTCCCCATCTACATTTTTTCCTCCTTCTTTAGCCATCATGACAAACATCACACAGTCACCACTGTGACAAACACATCTCATTATTTGGGGAAGAACTCTGAGCATCTTGCTTACTTTTACAAAAATCACATGCTAAGAACTAAACAGCAAGGCCTTTTCTTGGAGCATCTCAAGGCACTTCTAGATTTGACTATGAGAGGCTGATCCCAGACACTCATGGATCAAATCCAGAGCACAGAAACATAACACAGTAGATGAAATGCCAAACTACTTCAGCGCAGAGACAAAAACAAATTATAAATTACAAGATGAATATGACAAACTCTTCATCTTAAAAACAAAAATCATCACTAGAAAGTGCTGTATTTAATCCAGTTCTAGAAACTACAAAGTGTTGCATTTCTTGGACTTGAAATTACATGTGTCATCTCTAAAAAAATTATGTTCCAGTGTCACCAACAGACTTGAAATATTTTGCACATTTGGGTGGAACAAATGTACTTCACCAAAACGGAGTAAGCCTTGCCTTATTTAACTTGCAAAAAGCAGCTGCATGTTGAATTTGTAACCAATAGTCTGTCACATGGGGAAGGCTGCAGAGACTCAGAGCTGCTCTCAAATCCTCCCTACAGCACTGCAAAGGATCCATGTGAAACCAGCACCACTAAAGCTGAAAGGAAAAGCCAGTGTGCTCAAGTGGTATTTAGGGGCTCTCCAAAGCTCTGTTATATTGTATTGCTTTTTACAAGTTCTTGCTTCTCTTTACAAGCTCTCAGCTCCCTGTTAGGTTCCTATGATCCATGGTGCTGTCAGTAACCCACTTATTTCATATAAACTTTACTCAGCCAGGATACTCTCTAGTGAGGACCCTAAACATTAATACTTGAGTTTATGCTGTCCATAAATACAAGTATAAATATTTTACACAAACATAAACAAAACTTACTTGCAGGCTCCTGAAAACACACTCTCTAAAAGCCTATATATCCATACACTATATAAACTACATATATATACACATGTGACATATATATATGATAGGGTATTTCTAGTCTTCCAAAAATTAACATTAAAAATATATATACACATGTGACATATATATATGATAGTGTATTTCTAGTCTTCTAAAAATTAACATTAAAAATATATATACATACAAATGCATACACACAACTGCATAAATAACCTGTATAGTCTACACACAACTTCCTTTTAAATACTATATTGAAGCCAGTCTTTCCAAGGCAGGATTTACTGACCATTACATGCAGCTTTAATGACAGAAGTCAATTTGAGAATATAGACTCTGAAAACATTTTCACTGAATAAAAGGCTTCAATGAAAAATCTTTAACAGGAGTTCTGTGTGTTAGTTTGTCTATTAATAGGGCTGTATTGTGTCTATTCATAAGGCTGAATTCAGGTCAAGTATATATATGGACTGAACATCCATACCAAAGGATATTATGGAGTTATGGAAGTCACTGGTGACAACTCCACCCAGTTTTTTCCCAAGTCTCTCACAAGGAGTCTGATCCAAAGCTCATTCGGTTTTGGGACATTTACAAGGTTTTGGATCAGCCCCAAGGTGACATTTACTCCCAACCAGACCTTATTGTTTAGAACAAGGCTGCTTCCTTTCAATCTGGGTTCTTTGAGAATTTAAATCTGATGGAAAACTTAAATGCTTCATCTGCATCATGAATATAAACAGCACTGATGGTGTAAACACAAGCTTTACTGCTAAACAAAGAATTGGAAGCTTGAAAAATTATCTCACTTAACCATTGCTGTAACAGGGACAAATCAAAGAGCTGAACAACAGCACCATCCTGAATTTGTCTGCATCAGTTTCAAAACATTTGACACTTTTCAGCTCCTCTTTGAAATGGTCCTTGATAAAACTGCCATCACTAGAATTGTTTCTATATTTAATTCCTATGTCAAAGTGTGACTGAAAATTTTCAAGTTCTGTTAAACAGGAAGTTCAGATTTAAAGTTTTTTAAACTTACAACTACAAATATGGAAATGCAGTATCCTTTTGAAAATTATTCCATGTTGGGCTCAGAAAACAAGAGTCAAAGGATCTGACACACTGTACCCCAATCTCTGCCAAGGCCAGGGTTTACCCAACACACTGCTCCAAGGACTCCTCACTGCTTCCATCAATGTTCTGGTCAGGGTCAGGGTTAGGGTTAGGGTTAGGTAAATGCTTGAAGCTGAAAACCCAGTCAACCACACACTTTTTTCTTCTACCTGATTTGCAACAAGATGTAGGGAAGTACATAATTACAGAAAAAAGAAAATGGAAAAATGTACTCAGCCACAAATAAATTTGACTTCTTTCCAGCCTGTACATTTTGTTTTAAAGACCATTCCTAATCAGTTGTGCTTCCTGTCTTTTCATTTGGGTTTGCAAGAATCACTGTTTTCTCTCTCCTTGGTTGAAATCCCTTGCAGATTGTTTGTATTTATCCCTCTTGATCCACACAGCACTTCCATGTTACAGAGCACACAGCAAAGGGCAGGAAGCCCAAAAAGCAAAGAACATGAACTCAAAAAAATCCTGGGCAACACAAAGACCTCGAGGGTATGCTTGAGTCTGTTATGCCTCTGAAGGTACAGAAGTGGAAAAGAGCAGCAATATTGCAGGAATCAGAGTGCTGGGTAGGCTGCCAAGGAGCCAGGAAAAGCAGCAAACTGTGAATGGCACTGAAACTAAGAGGGATTGGGAAAAAGAGGCAAACAGACAACGGAGCATGAGGTAGGGAAAAAAGAAAGTTGACCTGGAATGAGGATGGAAGCAAGCTAAGTGTTTTTAAATAATTTTTTTGGATGAACAACTGTATTTTTGGCAGAACAAACCAAAACACTGCGTACACTTGGAAGCAGTCTTAGTTACTGAGAGAACTTATTTACACATCATTAATTGTAAAATAAAAGCCAATTTAACAGCAGTGAGTAACTTTTATAGACAGTAATGCAATCTCCAGTAAGAAATTTGAACACTGAAATCTTAAATATTTTTACCCTAAATGACAGAAGCTTTCTGATAGGATGTAATGTCCCGAACTCCCAGTTTTGCCATGATAAGAGTTTGACAAAGGTAATGCTCAACTTCACACAGCCACATGCAACATCTACAATAAAACAGAACTCAGGGGTTAAGGGATAAAAACACCTATTGCAGCCCTGGCTCAAAAATAAACTGCTTTTTCTAGGGAGAATGGGAAACAAGGAGTGAAACCAAATACCAGTCAAACCTTAGACATGAGTAAATTTCTGAAGGAGCATAATAAATGACCCTAACTACAAACTTATTTCAAAACATTGGGTCACTCTCAGTAAATGTCAGTATTCATTTAAGCACTGGCAGCCCGATTTTTCAGAAGGAGGGAAATGTATCTTCACCATCCAAGTTGTTTTCCAAAGCAGTGGAATGGGGAACAAACGCTTTGACCTGAGCTGAAGCACAGTTCTACTACATGTAAATACTAATTTGCAACTTTACAACTTGTTACTTATTTTCCATAGTTTAATCTCCTCAGCCATAAGAAGTGATTGGCAAATGAACCCTTGGCAGAAGGGAGTTGCTACAGAACTGCAACTCGGTTACCCAGCTGGAGAAAACTTTCTTGAAGGAGCACACCCAGAGAGGAATTTGCTAAAATCCTGCTCCTGACCCTGCACAGAAATGGCACTGAAATCCTTGCTTCTTTTCCACCTTTCTTTTTGTGTTAAAATCTCTCAGCCTGCTTGCTCCTCCACGAAAAACTACTTGGCTTGTACTTTGCTGTCTCACAAGCTAGAAATTCTCCTTTCTACTCTGTTTCCTTGAAAAACTGAAATCACAGTATTTTAAAGCAGGTCTTGTCCCTGAAACTCCCCTGACCAGCAGAAATCCCTTGTGCAGGTTCCAAAATGTTCATTTCTCAAGCTCTGACTGCTCACACCCCTGTGATCAAGGCTCCACACTGTGCAAGCTGAGTTAACGTGGGTTCCAACTTTCCCAGAGATCCCTCTGCTGCCTTTCACTCCTTCCCTCCCTCTGATTCTCGGTTCTCATCCTTCCCCCATCCATCACAGTCACCCACCTCAGAGCATCAAACAATGTCCATCACCCTTCTGACCCCATCCTAAACTTCCCAGCCTCTGGCATACTCCCTGCAACTTCACATTAAATAGATCTGTATCTGCTAGCCTATGGATTCAGTATGCATGTTATCAAAACCTGTATTTCAGCTAACAGGGCAACATCATTAGTATGGCCACAAATGTGAAATCAGAAATACATGAACAGTTTTGATCCTGCTTTAAAGATGCAACTCTTAATTTTAAAATCTTTTGTGAAAACAATTTTGTATTTAGCAAAGCACCATTCCCAAATAATGTATTATGCAAACAGTACTAAAATACAAGTATTCCTCTAAAGATAGGTGAAAAGTAGTCATTTCCCACTGCAGATGAACAGTGAACACTTTTCCCACATAAGTGAACAGTGCTTAACACTCCATAAAACTGCTCTTTCTGCCCATGTTAAAGGAAAACAACAGTATGATAATGAATTCTGGTTTGTGACTTTTGTTGTAGAAATTTATTACCTCGCAGGTCCAAATGTTTTAGGACTGTCTCATCCTTTAGGCAAGTGAAAATTTGCATTATGGCATTGTAGTGATAGGTAGTGAAAGTATTTTTTCCTGATGTATTACTGAGATCATTGAGAATTAATTATTTCTGTATCATAAAAATCAAAAGAAGCAAGCTTTAGTATAATCCCCTCAATTCAGCAGTTTTGTAAAGATCAGCAACAGATTACCTATGTCACTCATCAGTTATTCAAATACTTTTCCAAACCTGCAATTTGAGAGAGACACAATCTCAGGATGTGAGAAGTTCATTTATTACACACCACTGCTAACAGAAAATATCCACTGGTTTTTTGCAAGGCACTCATGGCACACAGGAATTACCCAGTTTTGATGCACCAGAGTTGTTGATTTTAGTAAGCAAATCATAAAACTATACAGGTGGTGGAGCAGCCAATGTGTTCACCCCAAGAGCAGACTGCTCTTAGCTACTAACAGAACAGCATTTCTATTACTTATTCTTCATGTGCCACTTAGTTTTTTAAATGGAACCCATGTATTAACTCCTAACAGCGGTGTGAGAGAGGAAAACAGTAAAACAAAAGCAACTTCTCAACATGATTAAAAGGGAATACACAGAAAAAAAGCATTCTATCACATTTTAATTCTTGATATATAATAAAATGAAAAGGAATTGGGAAAAAAAGCTTGAGTTTCCTCTAAATTAAAAAAAATATATATTTTCTTTGAACTTAATTTATAAAGTTTTATTTTATTAAAAATCTCAACAGGCATTATCTCTGCAGATCCATTATGAATGAAGACTGAGAATTTTTCAATTCCTTGCATGTGTTCTCAAGTTAGGTTAACATTCACCACATTTTCCACGCAAATTTTGCGTTAGTATTTGTTTTGAAACTCTCTTCCAGTGACATTTCTCAGTGCACAAGGCTGCCTAACCCAACCTGCACAATTCCTTGGCTGAACAGAGAAACCAAAGTTACCCACACAGACAATCCAATACTTGTGGTCTGTCTTTCCAGGAAAAGGCTGAGCAGCAGAAATGTTTCCAAGGAGCATTTCAAGGTACCATGTAGTAGCATTTTGCCCAGAAGTAGCTCTGTCCATGAATTTAATTCAGTAGGGAAGCAGAGGGACAACACCCAATCCACCAAAGCACAGCTCACCACAAACACTGCACTAACACACCACAGCTGACACACACTGCTCCAAATCACTATAATACTTGCATTTCCTACAACACCTCAGCTGTCCCTCTTACACTTTACCTTTTCATGAATTTCTTGTGTAGACTGAGCATCACAAAACGCCACAGTGGCTACATCCTTCAGAATAGGCATTTCTACTGTGCAGTCCCTGCCGTCCAGCAGCGCTACCAAGGGGCGCGGGTGCATGGGCCCGTTCATGATCGGAGGTCGAATGCCTGCACACAAACACAAAACCTGGTTAGTCAGGCCATGCCAATGGCAGTACAAATAGGTTTTACAGCCACTCTGCTTTGTTCTGATGGCAGAAAAAGATTTCAAGGACTGAAGCTAATAAAACAGGAACAAGTTTATACTCAGCCGTCAACCAAGTACAGAAGACATTACGAAGAAATTCCATGGAGGTTCAGAAGGCTGAACTTTGAAACATGGACAAAATCACTGAGGGAAGAGTATACTTGTTTTTTAAAGACACATCTCACTGTACTAATCAGTGTCTCTGCAACCTTGTTCAACCTTTAGGTTTTGACTGGATTCCACACCTTTGTGAGCTCTAGAAAGAGTGAGAAATATCTTGCCCAGGCTTGCAAGAAGAGTGGAGCTTATGGAATATAATAAGCAACTCAGTGAGGATTTGAGTATTCAATTTACATATATAATGATGATTCTGCTGAGACTAAAATTTAACTTTAAAAAGCCTACAGCAGCAAAATTTTCCATTTACTGAGGATCCAGTGTCCAAGTTTACAGGCAAAATTGCTGATCTATGTAGGTCTGCTTAGACTTAAAAAGTTTTACCAAACAGTTCTATATAGCTTGGTCAAACACGTCATGCTTAATCCACCACTGAAAACTCTTACAAAACAGGAAAAAATGTCCCTCCCTAAATCAATGTCACACTCTGAACACCGTGGAGTGACAAAGAAATTGATGTCAAGTATCTGGGAGAAGGACAATCAGTCCAAACTGAAGATTTAACTTACATCCTCCTTACAGAGTCTAGAAATGAAAAATAATCCGTAAGATATTTAGAGAGCATCTCTTTAACAATACAGATGCTATAAATACATAGAACTACTCAAGGGAATAATATTAAACCATTGCATTTACAGAAAGTAGTTAGGCATGGGTGGAAAAAGAGACTTCCTGAAGAGATAATGAAAAACAAAACGAAGAATAAAGTACATTTTTTCCTCTTTTAAAATAAGAAGTTTTAAGCACTGCAAAGTGAATCAGGCTAGTTATTTCTTGTATACAAATTTCAACAGATATTTTTGTTGCAGTGTCAATTTTAAAACATTGCTTATTTTCTTGTTAATCCAAGTTGGTCCAACAGCAATGCAAACGACTGAGGCGCCCCAGTTAACTTCTCCAAGCAATCCCTGCATCTGAAGTCCCAGCCTGTGTCAGAAAGCAAGCCCTGGAAGACTGGTATCTGCATTACAAGTGGATGGAAAATCAGTAGAATCCCAACCTTACAAGTGTCTGACTCTTTTCTGTTCTGCTTCCAGCACCTCCCCGCCCTGATGGTAGCATGGCCTGACTGACTCTGCAGTACCATCACCATTTTTCAGATGGGAACCAAAGTTTGTTATGGCAATTACACTGTTGCACAAACACTCCTAACCTGTGCTATGATAGGTGAGCTTAGAAATGCTTCTGGTACGTGTTATTTCACTAATAATGAGCCACCAAAACTAAATGGGAGACATTAATACATAATTTTTAAAAACTGTGCAGCTTGATAGCTTATTATTGATACTTGTTTGAACCAAAAATGGCCACAAAACCCTCATACGGACATTTTTAGTAAATAAACTACATACCAGTAATGGGGTACAGGAGACAAACACTAGAATATACAACATAAAAATACTTAAGGTATTAATGGAACAATTCTATCCTTTAATGGGGATTTAATTACAAAACTCCACAATAAATAAATACATCCTAGGATAAAGCATGTTATAGACTTGCTCACATTTTTTAAAAAACAGTATATATAACAGCATTATTAAAATGCAATTATGTCTAGAAACAAATGCAAAAATGACATTGCAAGACCTCTTCATTTTGCTTAGAGTGACTGTGCTTACTCAACAACTGAAATGTCATGATCTTGTCAGTACAGCAAAGCCAGAAATTCAATAACAAGTCTGAATGCTAGCTAAAATAAAATTTTAAAAGCTAAGAACTTTGATACTAAATTTGTTGCAGATGAATGAGGAAAAATATGGCACAGGTGATTCCCTCAGAGCTACAACTAAAGCACCTCTGTCAGAGCACAGAGTCCAAACTTTAGAAAGTAGGTGACATTAAAAACTCTCACTTTAAAGAAACACTTTTCTGACCAGGGCTAGCTCAAAAAAATCATGAAATGTTACAGCACTACACAGAGCCCTTTCAGATGATGATTTCTCTAAAACACATGAAGGTGTGGTCTGGTTTTCCCCTCACACCAGTATATCTGAGATTTGAACCAAGGTACTTGTGCAACACTGGCGCTAAGGGGAATGCCAGGGCAAGCCCCAGAGCACAGAACTGAGTCAGAAAAGCCCCAGAAGGAGAAACCCCCCCTGAGACATTTCAAGGCTTGGTTAAGAATCCCCAGATCTCAAACACATCCAGTGACCTTGACCACAAAAACCCTACAAACCTTTGCTTGCTAAAACCCTTTCTGAACTTCAGCACAGACTTCCTGTTGCACAATCTTTGTGCCCAAATCTCCTGCCCCTGAAGGGCAGGCACTGATTCCCACTTCAGTTAACTTCCAGGAACTTCATCCCAGTGGCAGTTCCTACTTAAAGTTCCCATTTGGGAAGACATGGATTCACTGAAAATCAGAACCTTTGGAACACAAAGGTTCCTCTTCCAGCATTTGGATACATTCTGCCTGGATTTTATCTGGGAATGTCACACTGCACTGTGCCTCTGGCTTTTCAGGAGACCTCGAAGAGGCAGCAGAAAGCAATGTGGATTTAAGAGCAATGTGGATTTAAGAGCAGTGTGGATTTAAGAGCAGTGTTTTCCATGCCTGCATTTACAGTGAATAATGCAGCTCTGTGCCAGAGAGAAGTAACTGCAAAGTGGTCTGAAGTGACATTCAACATGACAAATGTAAAACTGATTTAAAAAATAATTTCACTTAGCTGGCTTATTTAAAAGTATTATGGTATAGCACTTCACATTACATAGATAACACAAATTATACCACCACCCCCACATCCTATAACCTTTGTTATGGGAAAACAATCTTAGTTTATCCTAACTCAAGACTTTCAGGAACCCCTACCAACCTGACATTTCTTAATCTGAGCTTGATTTCCAGGATCATGAATTCGATTTCTCAATGCTTTACAATCTTCAGTATTCTGAGGCAAAATAGCAGCCTGTCATTCCATCCTCATTTCCATGTCTTTAATTTTTCTTGCAGCCTCCTGTAATCTTGAACCAAAGCTTTTATACTTCTTATCCACTGCAACCTCTGCAGCCTGGATGGCGTTCAAATTTTTACTAAAAATTAAACACAAACAATACATTAAAACAACGTTAAGGGTCTGACTCGTGCTCACAGAAGGCAGGAAACTCAAAATTAAAGCTTCTCACTGCATCTGTACCCTTCCCCCTGTGGCTGCTGGCTTCCCAGCACGCCGGCTGTGCTGCCACTGGCCAGGAACACTGCAGGGACAGCAGTGGAGCATTGACACACACTGCACCTGCTCAGGACAGCAGGTGTGCTGCACATACCCCTGCCTGCATGGGGGGCACCACTGCCATGGCCACGGCCTTGCCTGGCTGAGCAGGGATCCAGGGACAGTGTGGGACCCCCAAAATCCCCCTGCTGGAGGGCCAAGCACTCCGGTGGGTACCAGAGATGGAGTGAGAAGCCTTAACTCTGAACTTGATGGATTAGCTGGGTGTAAGTCAGGCCCTTAAGGTTATCTAAATGTATTAAAGAACAAACCTAACACTCTCCCAACAGCTCTAATCCAGCTGTTAGTCTGGGGTTTCTGCCCTGCCCCCATGTGGAACAAATCTGGTGGGGAAGCTCTTACCCAGCACCAGCTACTGTGCCAGTGGCTGCTGGGTTTTCTCTAAATTAATTCCAGGTATAAGGTGCAGAGACAGCCAGAGCAGCTGCCCTCAGGCAGCAGCTATTCACATGTGGCTCACAGCACAGTGCCTCTGCACAGCTGCAGCCTGGAAAAAACCCATCAAAACCTTATTCTAGTCCAGCTCTTATGGAAATAAACTCGGGAATTGAAAAACCAGTTTTCAGCTGCAGAACCTGAGAGGAGGCCAGCCTTGAGCACAACTGACTGTGGGTCCCAGAAACAAGGGCATTAACGAGCTCACCACGCAGCTCTGCAACCAAACAGGAGGGGAAGGGCTGTGAATTCTTTCCCCTCCACACACACCTCTGAGAGCAGGGGCACTCAAAGGTGATCAGCCCAACCTCAGCACAAGATGTATTTCCTTCCAAGTAGGGCAGTGTCCTCCTCCCTCCAAACCCACCCAGCATCTCCTGCTCCTCAAGCATTGCTTGTGCTACCAAACAAGGGCAAGAAGCCAATGCCACGGGCACACTCAGGACTGCAGGGCGAGAAAGCTCTCCCTGACAGAACCCAGGCTGTTAAAATGTGTTTAAACTTTTCATAAAGACAGCCTTTTATGGGACAAACTGACAGTAACTGAAGCAATCACTTTGCCGAATACCAGAGATCTCAAAGTAGGCTGCCATGGTCTACTGACATCAGAAAATGTACTACAATGCAAACCTATCAAAATTAATAACAATGTCATTTTCACATTTTTCTACTGCTGATTAACTTGACATCATTAGGGTGAGGAGTGTCTCACATGAGGCACACATGTTAAAAGTAAAGGACACTGTCAGATTTGTAGGCCCAAAACTTGACCTACCTTTCATTTCTTTAAATCTGTTTGCAAAGTCCATGTAATTCTTTAAATGTGTTTTTCTTTTTTCAAAACAAATGCTTCAACTCTTTTTTCTGAAAAATACATCAATGCCAAAAAGCACAACACTTATCAATAACCCTATAATCATAAACCAACAAGAACATGAGATGGAGGAGAGCAGCCTGGCAAGAGAGCTTTCCTGTCACTGGGGATTCTTACAAGTGCAAAGATTAAATAAGGAAGAAAAATCCCTTGACAATATCCTCCTTTTCAAAGAATTTGTGGTAAAAAACTTCCT